TAACTATAAAGGCCTCCCATTTTCCTTAGAAGTGCCGAGTGCTGCAGAGCGAGGCTGCTCCGCCTCCCCCAACAACTCAAAGGTCTTGGGAGAAAGGACATAGCCAGGTGCTGGGAGCAGCCTGCAGGGACCATATTCCTGCCACGTTTCTTTTCCAGGCCACCAGCTTGCTTGTCACGGAGGCTTTTCCCGTATCTTAAAGGATGCACAGCTACTGCCGGCATAACTTGACCATTTTCAGTTTTCTTCCATAGACCCGCCCAGAAATCTTCTCACTTGCATATGCACTAGTTTGGCCTTTGTAACTCCTCTTACAGAGTTGTAGAGGCATACCTTGCTTACTCGCACTTCTCAGATAGTGCGTTGTTTCCAAATTGAAGGTTTGTGGCAACCCTGGTTGAGTGAGTAATTCAGAGCCCTTTTCCAGCAGCACATGATCACTTTGTGTCTGTGTCACATTTTGGTAATTCTCACCTTTCAAATATTTTCATTCGGTCTGCTGTGGTGATCTGTGATCAGCCATCTTTAATGCTACTATAATTGTTTTGGGGCATCACACACTGCGGCCATCAAAGAGGGCAGATGTAATTGACAAGTGTGGTATGGGTTCAGGCTGTGCCTCCAACCGGCCATTCCTTGCCTCTTTCCCTTTCCTCAGGCCTGTCTTCTGTGAGACACGGTACTGCAGTTAGGCCAATTAATAATCAGTCCTCCAGTGGCCTCTAAATGTTCAAGTGAAAGAAAGAATCACACCTTTCTCATTTTAAATAAAAAATGAGGGCCAGACATGGTGGCCTACACCTGTAATCCCAGCATTTTGAAAGGCCAAGCCAACAGATGGCCTGAGCCCAGGAGTTCGAGACCAGCCTAGGTAACAGGGCAAACCCAGTCTCTACAAAAAAATACAAAAATTAGCAGGGCTAATTTTTAGCCCTGGTGGTATGTGCCTTTAGTCTCAGCTACTTGGAAAGTTGAGGTGGGAGGATCACCTGAGCTCAGCAGGCAGAGGTTGCTGTGGGTCATGATTTTGCCACTGCATCACCAGCCTGGGTAACAGAGCAAGAGCCTGTCTCAAAAAAAATTAACAAATGAAAACGTGGAAATGATTAAATTTGGTGAGGAAGGCACGTGGAAAGCTGAGATTGGCCAGAATCTAGGCCTCTTGTGACAGGTAGCCAAGTTGTAAATGCAAAGGAAAAGTTCTTGAAGGAAATGAAAAGTGCTATCCAGCGAATATACAAATTGATAAGAAAGCTTAACAGCCTCATTGCAGATATGAGGAAAGTTCGAGTGTTCAGGAGAGAAGATCAGACCAACCACAACATCCCTTTAGGCAAAAATCTAATCCAGAGCAAGGTCCTACCTCTCTTCCGTGAAGGCTGAGAGAGGTGAGGAAGCTGCACAAGTCTGAAGCTAGCAGAGGTTGATTCATGAAGTTTAAGGAAAGAAGTCATCTCTGTAACACAGAAATGTAAGGTGAAGTGGCAAGTGCTGATGGAGAAGCTGCAGCAGGTTATCCAGGAGATCTAGGTAAGATCACCAACGAAGGCGGTAACACTAAAAGCAGATTTTCAATGCAGACAAAATAGCCTTCTATTAGAAGAAAATGCCATCTAGGACTTCCTTAACTAGAGAGGAGATATCAAGGCCTGGCCCCAGAGCTTCAGAGGACTGGCCGACTCTCTTGTTTAGGGGCTAATGCAGCTGGTATGTTTAAGTTGAAGCCAGTGTTCATTGACCATTGTGAAAATCCTAGAGCCTTTAACAGTGCTGGTGAATCTACTCTGCCTCTGCTCTACAAATGGAACAACAAAGCTTGGATGACAGCACATGTTTACAGCATGGTTTCCTGAATATTTAAGCCCACTGCTGCGACCTACTGCTCAGAGGAAAAGATTCCTTTTAAAATATGGCTGCTCCTTGACAATGTACCTGGCCACCCAACAGGTCTGATGGAGATGAATGTTGTTCTCATGTGTGCTAACATAACATCCACTTCTTAGCTTGTGGATCAAGGAGTAATTTTAACTTTCAGGTTTTATTATTTAAGAAATAGATTTAATAAGGCTTCGGCTGCACCAATAGTGGTTCTTTTGCTGGATGTGGGCAAAGTAAATTGGAAGCCTTCTAAAAAGGATTCACCATTCTAGATACCAGTAGGAACATTAGTGGCTTCATAGGAGGAGGTCAAAATATTGACCAGGCTAGGACGTTGGAAGAGGTTGGTTTCAATCCTCATGGCTGACTTCAAGGGGTTCAAGACTTCAGTGGAGGGAGGTACATAACTGCAGATGTAGTGGAAGTAGCAAGACCACTCTAGTTAGAAGTAAAGCCTGAAGATGTGACTGAATCACTACAGTCTCATGATAAAACTTGAATAGATAAAGGTGTTGGTTCTTACAGATGAGAAAAGAAAGTGATCTGTTGAGATGAATCTACCTCTGGTGAAGACATGGTAAACGCTGTTGTAAATGACAATAAAGGATTTAAAATATTTCATCAAGTTAGTTGAGAAAACAGTGGCAGAGTTTGAGATGACTGACTTCCAATTTTGAAAGAGGTTCTACTGTAGGCAAAATGTATTGTGTGCTACAGAGAAATCTTTGCTGGAAAGAAGAGTCCATCAATGCAATGACTATTATTTTTAGAAATTGTCACAGCCACTCCAACCTTCAGCAGCCACCACCCTGGTCAATTGTCAGCCATCATTCAAAGCAAGACGGTCTACCCGCCAAAGGTTACAACTTACTGCAGGCTCAGATGCTCATTAGCATTTTTTTTTTTTGCAATAAAGCATTTTAAAAGTAAGGTATGTACAGATTTTAGACATGCTATTGCATACTTAATAGACTATAGTATAAACATAACTTCTCTGTGGCCTGGGAAATGAAAAAATTAGTATGGCTTGCTTTATTGCAATATTCAATTTATTATGGTGGCCTGGGACCAGACTTGAAATATCTGTGAGGTATGGCTTTACTCTTGGTAAAAAGGTCCAAAGGTTATGGAAACATGGGCCAGGAATGTGTCCTATAATCCATAGACAAGAGTCATTCAGTTTAGGACACATCCCTCGCTTGCCTTTTAGACATGGAATCATGCATATGGCCCTTGGACTTGGTTTTTTAAGCCTAATCTGTTTTGTGATTTTTTAATGTTGGCATCTGTGGATTTCCTCATCTTTATCAGCTACATAATCATCCACTGTGTTTACTGTGCCATAACTTATGTATCCATCAGCAATGCCACAGTCGAGATCTTTGAACAAATATCTATGAGTAGGTATAGGGGGCAGTTTTAACGAATGAATCCCCAATTTATATTCTTGTGGCATTGTAGTTTTACTTTGTGTTTCTGATTATTCTACAGTGTACCTTGGCTGGTGAGTGGCCTCGGACTGTGCAGGTGTAGGCGTGCTGCCCCCTTCACAGCCACAGCCCATTTGCCTTTAGACAGAAAAGGAACACAGGGAATCCATGAAGGTTTGACTCGTGACATCAGGTTTTGGAGTCTCAAAGGACAAAATGCAACTGAGTTGGTGGAGCAGCTGCGTTGCCCAAAAATCTCTTCAGTGAGCAATCCCCTGGAGACCACTTTGGAGCTCTGGGCTGGGAAGTGCCTTCCAGCCTTACCTAGGTTTCAGCTCTTTGATGCCCTTTTTAAAAAAGTCAATTTCATCATCTCTCAAAGGGAGAAATGGCATGAAAGTTTTAGAACTATTGTTGCCTTATTTGGGAGTGCTCACAAGTCCGCTGTTTGGTAGTTAGCCACCTTGGCCAACGAACAGCTGGGCTCACACTTCAAGCCTAATTGGGGAGTAATTTAGTGCCACTCTGAAAGGAAAAAAAATGTATGTTAAGTTCCATGTGTGGTTTAATGAGCAAGCTGTGGGTATTGGAATTTAACCTTTTTAAAATACAACATTAATAATCCTGTTTTTTTCCCCTAGATTATTTGCAGGTGTCTTCCCTCGAATGGCAGCCATCAGTCTGGGAGGTTTCATCTTTCTGGGGACTTATGACCAGACGCACAGCTTGCTGTTGGAAGTTGGCCGAAAGAGTCCTTGAAGCAGAGACAGCCTCACCTCCACTTCTGTCAAGAGAGGGGCCTGCAGTGTAAACCCTCCTTCTGCTGAGCAGCTGTCTGAGCTACAGGCCCCAGTGCCAGCGAACAGTTCTGCCAAGATGCTGGCATCGAGATTGTGCCATCCGTGGTATAGGCTGGCTAGTATAAAGTCAGTGGCCTCTCTGCCAGAAAGAGAAGAAAATGTGGTCTCTGGCAGTACTGTGAAGAGTTTCTTCAGAACTTCTTAATAAATAAGTGGTAATGCTCAGGCCAGGCCTTTCAGAGCTTTCATTTGATTTCTATCTGATCTTTCATTTCCTGCCACCTGATGGTGGATTCAGCAGAAGGTAAGATGGTTACAATTTTAAAAGGACACTTGGGGAAGAAGTTGTGTATGTGGGTATTTCGCCTCCTAGTTAATTCCTGGTGTGTAAGGTTAAGGCTTTGTTGAACAAGAATGAACTACAGGTGCATAGCAAGCATTCTTTCTGGGTAACGAGGCTGCTGGTTTTAATTACCCTCAGATTTCACCTATAAAAACATAATTGTATTGTTTTACAGAGACGTGTCCAGCGCCCCCTGTGAAGTGTGAGAGAAAGCAGTTGCAGCTCAAGTGACTAGGTGGGCCCAGCTGGCTTCACGCAGGAGGGCACGGTGGGTGAGCCATTCCCGATATTCTCCATGTCGGGCTGAAAGGAGGGCCTGGGCCCACTTTGAAAACAGCGTTGCTAGAAATAGGCAGGATGAAATAGGAAGGTCACCACACTTTGGGATTTGAGAGCTTGACTAACAAGCTCCAGGTGTAGAAAAATTCAGAACACGATCTCAGGAATCTAGCAGTGTTGTCTGCCCTGGAGCCAATGTTCTTTCTTTCTTCGGGAAAGATAATTAAAGGCAGAGTGACTGTGTTTGTATAAGAAGGACCACCAACTATATTGACATTTATAAATGAACCTTTATTAAAGACACTTCAATATTTTACATGGTTTTCAATGTACACTGTACCAAAATTTCTATAAATAAATAACTTTGTACATAAAAGTAATACTTCCTCTTTCACATTGCCTCTCAGAAGCAGCAAATTCACATATTTTGTGGAAGTAAGATTAGTTAACTGTCGAGAACAAAATTCTAAATGTGCTTACCTTTTGAACAGTGATGACACCTGACAGTAAAATTGACATTGTTAACTATTTTCTCAGTAACTCCCTTCAGCTTTTGGCCAAAGGAACATTTTAAGGACCTTGTTTGTTTCTATGTAATTCTTACTAAATTACACATTGGCACTCACAAGATGGTTAGCTACAGGTCTCAAAAGTGCAAAGACACCCAGAATCCAGGTCAAGGGTGAAGTCTTTTCCAGTCCCAGCTCAGTTTCATCTGTGCAAGGGAAAGGCACATGGACAGCCCTGCTCTGGATCCTCAGTAGAAATAAGGTAGCCCTGAAAAGTAAGAACTTCCTCCTTTTTATCCCCCATGGCCAATGTAATACTAATTATATTGGCAGAACGAAAACATCACTATAGAAAAATCCACAGGTACCAACACCAGCAGCCTTTACCTTAATTAAAAGTCTCAAATAGCAATCGAATGATACTGAGAAGGCCACATTTGCTTTTATCATAAAATAAGCTTCAGAGGAGGAGGAAAGGCAGTGTGTAACTGTTCTGACCACATGGATTAACAACCCCCATTCTACTCCTGAAAGACAGACAGCACTTAAAAGGAAAAGCTATTCACTGCAGTGTGGACAGCACCTGCTCCTGTGGCTCTACAGGGAGGCCTGTGACAGAGGCATCGACACACAAGCAGTGCTCACCTGAAGCTCCTTCTAGCGCACATGGAGTGTGGAGGCCAACTGAGCAGCAGCCTAGGGGTCTGTATATGAAGTGCAATACAAATCCAAGCCCTTCCATCCTTCCCCACCCTACATCAAAAATTCCTGGGAACAAATGTGGTTGTAGCCTCTATAAATTCCAGCCATGCGTTAAGGCACCAGAACCATTTCCCCTCCCCCCTCCAAAATTAAACAGCAACCTGATATGAAAAATAAGTCAAAATTGTATAACTTTTTTCTGTTAACCATGCACTAAAGATTAAAATAGCCTCTGTAAAAGATATATATGAAATCTCTGAAAACTCTTATGTACAGTGGTATCAAATACTTTTTTTTGCCTTTTGTACACAAATACCCTCTTGCATTTCTGTGCTTCAGATGCAAGTCCTGTGAACAACGGATACTCCACATGGCAGTTATAACTATATCCACATCAGTGACGCCTGAACCCAAGGCTTCCTCACTGCCTCTCCTACCTCTTTCCCATAGAGATTGGCATGACAAGAGCTGAGGTAGACAAAACCTAGCTTTTTGGTGCCAACAGCAGGGGCACCCTCTGTTTGCCAGGGAGCTGTCCTGTCAGTGGCGTGGACTCGGGACTGGAGTCACATGCTCTGGGGAGGTGGCCATTGGAAACAAGCAAGTGCTGGGCTTCTGTGCGCTCTGGATTGCTTGAAGATAACGAAGACGCGGGCTGTAGCTCTGAGTCCGGGTCATACAACCTTGCTAAAGTCCAGGAAGAATCCCCTACAAGGAAAGAAAAGACCTGTGAGACCCCCACCTGACTGGTGCAGCAGCTCCCCACCCACCTGTTAGTGACTCCTCAGAAGACAGTAAAAAGGTACCTTTCCCATCTAGAGATGCCACTGGCTTTTTCTTCACAGCCGTCAGCATTCTATCATGGTTACTGGGGTAGAGCGACCCCTGGCACTCAGGGCAGGACCCAGCAGCAGTCCCGCTGCACTGGTGATGTGGAGAATGCTCTCGGTCACTCCTCCCCGCCTCCGGGCCGTGCGGCGCACCTGGCTGCATGCTGTCTCTGGACACAGGCTGGGGGTGGAAGGCTTGTTCCCTGGAGTAACAGTCCACCTCAGTGTTGCAGTCACTGCATACAACCCGGCCACCATGTTCTGAAGGACAGCACCAAAGAAGGGTTAGAGCCACTCTTCACCCCGCAGAGAACAGGCTGCTCACCTCCCTGACTACAAACACAATGCATGCTTCCTCCCTCCCCCAACTATGTCCTCAAAAAAAGACTGGGCAAACACCAAGCCGCTCATGAACAGGGGTTTTTCATACTCTGACAATGTAGTCTTACTACTTGGGGGAAAAAAGCCATTTGCCTTAGGTACCGTGCGGTGTTGGGTCTATTTAACAATTAGAAATTATAGCCTTGGTGAAAAGGCGCTGACAAACATTTGGTTTGTGCCTTGCCCTTTATTTATGTTGATCATTAAATAAGTTGCTCATGGATCTAGAAAATCCACGCTCAGGCTTACCATGCCGCAGACTGATGTAGGAGAAACTATTCTGGAATTAAAAGAGAGCCAGGCCCGAGCTGTGCATTTACACACTTAATACCAGATTTGGAGACAGCTGTAGACTAATAACGTGTGTCTCCCTTTCATGTAGTGACTAGGTCAGCCCAAATTTCCATTTCAGAAAGGAAGACTGCAGATGGGAAGCATCTCATACCCATCTGATGTGGCCCAGGTGTCCCTTCAGCTTTCTCTGTCGCTTTCCATGGTTCTTTGTGATAACCAACACAGAGCTTTGGCTGCCTGCAGGCAACGCTGTGAGCATCGGCCTCTGCAAAGTGGCTTGGATTTCTTGGACAGACACCTGCGATAGATTCCAACACAATCAGAAAGTGTTATGAAAGGAATGGGCAAAGCCGCTAGAACAGTCATTTTTTAAAAAGTTTTCTAAAGTGGTGGGCTATTGGTCTAGCAAGCAGCATGTTTTTTAATACTCTAATACTGCTTCCCAGCAGGCAGGCTGGCCTGTGAAGTGAGCAGCTCTCTACAGGGTGAGCCTCTGCAGTCTCAGGTAAGTGCTCAGAAGCCCTCTACCATTGGAAATACCTCATCCTGGTGACAGCTTTCTAGCATGAGACTGGGGCCCAGAGCAGATCTGGACATGTTCTCCATGTAAGGAATGGGTTGGGTGGGAGCCCTGTAGTGCCCTCTGTAGCTGCTCCTCCAGGCAATCCTACCTTACCCTGCCAGGGAGATGCTAAGCCCAAAAGTAAATTCCTGGAGGGCTTGAAAATCTTGCAGAAATGAGGGCTGGGTCCATAATAGCAGGCCTTAGTCACACAGCTTTCCAGTGCAAGTGTGCCCCATCTAATTCCAGGTACATGCCCTGCAAAGAGCTGGAGGCCACCTCCAGCACCCAGAGATAAAGTCACAGCAGAGCTCTGCTTCACACTGAGGCCTTACCATTGCTCTCAATGTGCCCATTGGCCTGATGGCCACCCTCGGTCCTGACCATGGTTTCTTGTCGGTCAGAAAGGGTCCCCTGAGAAGAGAGGTAGCTTGGAACATCTGGTGGCACGATGGTTTCATCTGCAAGGAGACAGAACAAATGAAACACCAGGGTCACAGTGATAAGAAATGCAGACACATGTTCATTGTCAGGCTCAGAAGCAGGATCCTCCCAGTGACGACCATCAGGGCTGGGCAGAGAGAGAGTGTGGAGTCCATGTAAGCAACAGGCCCTCCCAGCGCCTGCTCAGCCTTACTCTACACCCACTGTGAAGAGCGCAGCAGGCAGATGCCACAGGAGGTGGAGATGAGTGATGGGAAGAGAGCCGGGACACACAGAAGCACCACACTGGGAGATTGTTTCAGTTACAACCTACTATGTGGCAGCAGGGCCTGTGCACAGGCGGCCTCTCCGTTACCAAGGAGAGGGAAAACTGCAGGGTATGGCTGTTATATTTATCTGGGAGCATTCCTGTTAAAGATGAAGTTCCTCAAAGTTAAAATGGAAATCAGTGGGACTAAAGCCTCAGGAGTGCTGAACATACTATGCTTCTTTCAAAAGCCACTGGGCTCCCACCCAGTTCCCCAGCATCACTGCCGTTCCCCCCTCCCTGGAAGTCAGCTCCACCAGCAGGGCCTGACCTGTGTTGGTGACACTGTACTCCTCACTCTTCTTCCTTGTCTGGTAGATGATGCACACCCAAACCAGCGACGTTAGAACGATGCTGCTCACCACTGCGATGGTGAAGATGCCCACTGTGGTCCCATCCTTCCTGCAGCTGGCTGCAGGCAGGATGCTCAGCTGGCTGTGAGCTCGCTCTGTGCCCAGAGTGTTAGACATCTCACAGGTATACTGGCCTGCATCCTCCGCCACCACGTTCTGAACCACAAGCAGTTGGTTGTCAGGGGTCAAGTGATGCCGCTCAGTGACACTCAGCGGGTGGTCCTCCTTGAACCAGGTGATGCGGGGCGGAGGGTTCCCGGTCGCTTTGCATTGGAGGGCTACCGTTTCTCCCACAGATACCACACGGTCTTCCAAGGGCACTGCCAAGGATGGGGTCTCTGCAAGAGGTCAGCAGAGAACTTTTAGTCATTCTCAGGGCTTTGCTTGCTCTGGCTCTGCCCTGTCTTTGGGACAACAGGCAATCCAACATATCAATGAGATGCATCTGAGATCTTAGAGTGGCAAGCTTTTTTAACACATCAACTAAGTCATCTCCACTTTGGGGGTGGTTTCCACAGGGGCAGTAAACTAATCTCTGCCCACAAAAGCCCCTGCTATTCTCTAACCATCCTTTTGACCAACCCACATCCAACCTGTCCAATTCTTAGAATGTTCCCTATCTAAACCCAGTGAAGAGACAGAACCACCAAGAAAAATGTCAAAAAGCAACCACGAAAGGCCCACTACACCTATCGCCCCTGGCCACACAGAGCAGTTTGAGGACCTTGGCTCTAGGTGCCTATGACACACACACACACACACACACACACACACGAGCAGTGGCCGAACCTAAGACAGTCAGGGTGGCATTAGCTGAAATGGAGCCGGCTGAGTTCTGGGCAGTACAGCTGTAAACCCCTGCGTCATCGATTTTCACATCAGTGATAAAAAACACATCGTCATCTGGCATGACGTGCATGCGTCGCTCACGGGCAGCAGGGAAATCCGTGCCTCCATCCTTCTGCCAGGCAATCTGGGGGTTCGGGTGACCTGTGGCAGCACATTCGAGGCGGGCCATAGTGGTGGTCCGGATGGTTATGTCATGAGGCGTTTTGGTGAATGATGGCAACACTGGAAAATATACACATACAGGGTCAGGTTGTGGGACCGCTAGATGCAAAGCCAGGGAGTCTTCTGGCAAACACCTCCCCATCACTGTGCCCCATGCCAGTTCACTTCCTCACCACCCTTTCTTCCAGGGTCGGCCCAGGACCACTCTTGCCACCTGGGAATCAGCAACCCCCAGCCTCTTCCACCCCAACTGGAGCACTTCCATCAGCCTTGCCTTGTATACCTAAGGCTGGCTATAGTCCCTTCAAAGTGAAGGCTTATACCTTACATAGCAACGTCTAGATGGGGGTTGCAGGGGGCACCTGTCCACACTAGGTAGGGCCTGATGCTTGCCTGCCTTAATTACCTACCAGGAGAGAGGCTAGGAGGTGGAATTATAGAGGGAAGGCAGACATGCCTACACCCTAGGAGAGCAATGGGATGGCTCATCCTTTTGGATGGGTGTTCCCGCCTACTGCTGTACACCCAGGCAGGAAGCACTCAGCTTTCTCAGCCTGAAGATTGATGTCCCGACAAGAGTAGAAGGCATCCAGCCACATGTCAGGCACCACCACAGTTCCTGTCAACGTCAATTTGGGGGAGAGTCTAAGAGTTACCTGAGTCTTCCAGAGTCAGTAAGGACTTGGAATAAGCCAAGATAACCTGACCACAGTGTGGTAAAGGTGTTTCCCTGTGGTCTGTGGGGGCTTAAAGAACATGGCAGATCTAGCATTCTGACGATTGTCAAGCCAATTCTTTTTAACTAGAGGGTTAGTAACCAGGAAAACCCCACTAGGTTACTGGGGTGGAGTAGTAAACTACTCAAGTTACCTATTCCCCACCCCTCAGCTCCAAGGCTGGTTCATAAGTAAAAACCTGTAAACTGCCAGAATACTGTCTGTCAGGCCAGGGCTCACCAGCCTTGCACTCCACAGCCTCTGGAGAAGCAGCTAGCCTCTGACTCCAAGGTTGTGCTATCTACTCAAAGAACAGCAGCTTCCCCAGGATAAGGGGATGTTTGGAATTTGGAAACCAGATATGCTGGATTATAGAGGATAAGAAGTGGACAAAAACACAGGACTTAGCTCTCTGCAATTTGACTGAACATCATAACTAGTTACTGGGTTTTTTTTGAGACAGTCGCACTCTGACACCTGGGCTGGAGTGCAATGCTGCAATCTTGGCTCACTGCAACCTCCGCCTTCTGGGTTCAAGCGATTCTCCTGCCTCAGCCTCCCAAGTAGCTGGGACTAAAGGTGCATGCCACAACACCCAGCTAATTTTTATTACAGACCAGCTATTTTTAGTTGAAACGGGTTTTATCATTTTGACCAGGATGGTCTCGATCTCCTGACCTCATGATTTGCCCACCTTAGCCCCCCAAAGTGCTGGGATTACAGGTGTGAGCTACTGTGCCTGGCCAATAACTGGATTTTTAAAAGTCATCAAAAACAAATAACTCACTGAGAATAACCCTTGAAATCTGCAAACTTTGCTCTTGGGCAAACCCAGGCAACAGTATGATTTAAAACTGCCCCAGAGAAGTACATGTGTCCTGTCTCGGTCATCTCTACATGGAAAGTTCAAAGGACAATCAGGAGTAAGAGCTGTAGGATTCTAGTACTATAACAAAGAAAGATGGTGTTTCCATACCATTCACAGTGAGCCTGGCCTTGTGTGAATAGGTGGAGCCAAAGTGGTTGGTGATGACACATTGGTAGCGGCCCTCATGCCCAAAAGTGACCTGGCGGAGATGCAGGATCGTGGTGTACTCCATCACTTCCCCATCCTGTGCGTGGACGTGGACAAAGTTCTCCATGTCTGCATTGGTCAGGACTTCATTGTCCTTCTTCCAGGCAAAGGTCATGGGGGAGCTGCTGCTGCTGGCTGCTGAGCATGTGAACCGTATGTCCTTACCCACCATAGCCATGGTTGTTTCTGGTTGGGTGATGATCTGTGGCTTCAGGAAGTCATCTGGGAATAGAAGGAGCAACTGTAAGACACCAGGTTCTGGGTATACACAGGAACCAGGTGCTGTTCATGCTAACACTGGCTCAGACACCAGGCAGGAACCAGAGCTTGAGGTCCCTGTGCATCCTCAGCCCCACCACACATGCTATAAGAGTTGCACCATGGACATCTGAGCGTCATCTAATTTTAAGTCTATGAGTACTGATCAGCTTTATGATCAAACTCCTTGATTAGAAATTAACCCACCAGTTCTAAGCTCTCAAACCAGCCAGCTGGCAGTTTCCTTAATACAACTGGATCTGCCTGCTGACTTTCACACAAAACAGAGTCAGGCATGACTAGTCTTGACTGCAGAGACCTTATTATGCACACCTTCCAAAAGGAGGGGGTGTGAAACACTTCCAAAATGTCAGAATGAGGACCTCCAAAAACCTGCACTTGCATTAAAACAATGAAAACACCTGCAAAAATGGTCAAAACCAACCTTTTCAGAATTCTGGAAAACCAGAGGCTTACAACAATCCATAGAGTGTTGACTCATCCATAGACTGTTGACTCATCCATAAACTGTTGACTCAAGAAAATATCTCAGTAAGAAAGGTGAGCTTTGTGGTGTTTTAACTAATCATAAGCCTCATTCCTCTCTCCCAGCTCCATGGTAGCCTTGAAACCCAACAGCCTAGCAACCACTGAAGGGTCAGAATGGGTTCCCCAAAAGCCCTGTTCCTCAGAACTGACACTGTGTGGCCTATCTGGCAGCACCCTGCAAAGCCCCATTCACACGATTTGCATTGATCTGCCCTGATCTAGTGTGCCCAGCAGGAGAAGCCCTAGTTAGCCCCAGGGCATGTGACTACACAATCAGCAGCCACTGTTCAACAGTACAGCTGGCTGAGGGGACAATACTCATGGAGCAAACAAGCAGCTGGCCGAAAAACTATAAAGGAAAATGTGGAGGATAAAATGTTGATAGTGGGCTTTGAAAAGGTCCAATACATTCCTGGAGATCTAGACAGCCACGTGCACAGGGAGAGCCATGTGCACACCCAGGAAAGACCTGAGGGGATGTCCTCATTTCTCACCTGTGTCTGAGCATGACTGTCTGCACAAACACACAGGCCCTGGGTAAAGGATGGGCGACAGTGGTTGTGGAGACAAGGACTTCTCTGTCCAACCATTAGCTAACCACTAAGTTAAACAAGCAGGAACTTAAGGGGACAGACTTTCCAACCTTTGTCCAGAAAAAGTCACTAGGCAAGCTGTAACAATAAACGGCAACAGAAGCAAACCCTGGGGGAGGAGAGGGGGAATATCCAATTTCCAGAGCAACCACATTATCTTCTTTTAAATGCCCCATTTTCAACAAAATATGATGAAACAAACAGGAAGCTGCCTCTGAGGGAGCCAGACTTAGACTCACTAAATAAACTTTTTAAACTGGCGATTATGGGTATGTTCAAACACCTAAAGGAAACCATGTCTTAAAAAATGGAAAGTGTGAGAACATTTTATATCAATAAAGAGAAAAGTTTTACACTTGAAGCAAGTAGAGATTTTGAAACTTGTATAATAACTGAAACGAAAAATTGACTAGAGGGGCTTGACAGTAGAACTGAATGAGCTGGCAGAAGGAAGGGGCAGGGAACTTTAGACAGTCAACTGAGATTATCCAGTGTGAGAAACAAAAACGAATGAGGAAAAATGAACAGAACCACAGAGACTTGTGGGATAGCATCAAGCACAACGACATACAAATCATGGGAATCCAAGGAGGAGAAGAAAGAAAAAGGAACAAAAAAAAGTATTTGCAAAACAATGGCCCCAAATTTGATGAAAAATGTGCAGCCACATACCAAGAATCCCAATGAACTCCAAGTAGAATAAATTCAAAGATCCACACCCAGATGCACCACAGTCAAGCTGTCAAGTGCCAAAGACAAAGTGTCTTGAAAACAGCAAAGAGGAGCAACTCATCACATTCAAGGGATCTTCACTAATATTAACAGCTGATTTTTTTACCAGAAACCACAGAGAGCAGAAGGCAGAAGACATTTAAATTACTGAAAGAGAGATGAGCAACTATGAAGTCTCTATATTTAAAAAAAAAAAAACCTATCCTTCAAAAATGAAGGGGAAGTTAAAACATTTCCATGTTTTTATTTTAAACACACACTAAGCAAGTTCACTGTTACCAGACATGCCCTTAAAAGAAAGAAGAGTATTTAGTATGGCCGAAATGAAAGAACATCTAACAGCAATTCCAATCCACACCAAGAAATAAAAAAATCCCATTAAAGGTAACTACACAGGTAAGTACAAAACACAGGATACGTGTATTTTTGTAACTCTCTTCTGATTTAAAAGGTAACTACATAAAGCAGTAATTATAAAGCTGTTAATGGGCTTAATGAAATATGTAATGCATACGACAGTAATAAAGGAGGAAAACTGGATCTTAATAGGAACATAACTTTTGCATACTACTGAAGTTAATTTCATTATTTATTTGAACTACATTGTTGTAAGTGTAAATTTTAATTTCTATGGGCAAAACTAAGAAAATAAGTAAAAAATACATGAAAGAGTGTGTGTGTGTGTATTTTAAAAACAGGGAATTAAAATAGTAAACCAGAAAATATTCAAAAACAAAAAAAACAACTAGTCAGTAATGGAAAAATAATGAAACCAAAAGATAGGATACATAGAGCAAATAAGGGGCAAACTCTACCTTATCAGTAATTGCATTAAAAGAAAATGAATTAAACATTGTAATCAAAAGGCAAAGATTACCATAATGGATTAAAAAACCATGATCCAGCTATATGCTGCCTACAAGAGACACAGTTTAGAAGTCACCAAAAGAGAACTAAAATGCTTATACTAAAACAGACAAAATAGGCTTTAAGATAGGAGTTTTTACTAGAGAGGCAGTAATATTTTATAATGTAAAAGAGTCAATGCATCAGAAACACATAAAAATGATAAATATATACCTAACAGATGGCCACAAAACATAAAATCTGACAGGATTAAAGGAAGAAATAGTACAATTGTAATAGTTTGTACACTTCCATACACCGCTTTCAACAATGGACAGAACTTCAAAAAGTTTATGGAATAGACCTTAAAAAGTTCATGGAAAATGGAATTATAAACTTTTATCTCTCAACATAATCTCCATCAAGTTCAAGACTCTCTTGAGTGATCATACCAGCCATTTAGTACAATCCTAAAGAACTGAGGGTCCTGGGGATTTAAACATACTAATGCAGTCTTTTTTACATTATTAAAGGAAGAAAAATGGGTGCCCTTTAAAGGTTTTTAAAGATTATAACTAAAAAGAAGTTAGATGGAGCCAAATCAGGACTTTAAGGACTTTTCAGCCACTGCACTCCAGCCCCTGGGTGACAGAGGGAGACTCCATCTCAAAACCCAACCAAACCAATAAAAAAACCCAAATAGACCTAATAGATACCAATGGAACACCCCACTTAACACCAGCATGAACATTCTTTTGAAGTACACATGGAATATTATCCAGGATAGACCACAATTTTTTAGGTCACAAACCAAGTCTCAAATTTAAAAAGATGAAAATCATACGAAATATCTTCTCTGATGGCAATGGAATAAAACTCAAAATTAATTGGGTAGAAAGAATAATGGGAAACTAATCTGTGGAAGTTAAAACAGTGCACTCCTAAAAGGCAAAGAAGAAATCACAGGAGAAATAAAGAAAATACTTTGAGATGAATAAAAACAAAAATATACGAAAACTAGGAAGTGGCAGCTGAAACAGTGTTTATACATGTACAACTGTAGATACCTATATTAAAGATCTCAAATTAATAATCTAACCTTTTAAGAAATTTAAAAAAGGATGAGCAAGCTGTATCCAATGCAAGCAGAAAGAAGGAAATAATATCAGAACAGAAATAAACGAAAATAAATACAAAAATACAGACAAGCACTGAAAACAAAAGTAGGTTCGTTGAAAATATGAACAAAACTGAAAAACCTTTAGATAGACTCGTGGGTGGGAGAAGCAGGCTCAAATCTCTGAACTCAGAAATGAAAGAAGACACACTATTACCAACCTTACAGTATAAAACAGGGTATACTATAAACAACTGTATACCAATAAGATAACCTGGTAAAAATTCCTAGACAGACACAACCTACCTAAACTGGCTCAAGAGGAAATAGACATTGTGAATAGACATTAACAAGTAACAAGACTGAATTAATAATTTTAAAACTTCCCATAAAGAAAAGCCCATGCCAGGCATGGTGGCTCACGCCTGTAATCCCAGCACTTTGGGGGGCTGAGGTGGAGAGATCACTTGAAGTCAGGAGTTCAAGACCAGCCAGACCAACATGGTGAAGCCCTATCTCTACTAAAAATACAAAAATTAGCCAGATATGGTGGTACACCCCTGTAATCCCAGCTACTCGGGAGACTGAGGCAGGAGAATCGCTTGAACCCAGGAGGTGGAGGTTGCAGTGAGCCAAGATCACACCGCTGCACTCCAGCCTGGGTAACAGAGCGAGACTCAGTCTCAAAAATAAATAATAAAAACCCAGACCCAAATGGCTACACTGGTGAGTTCAACCAAATATTTAAGGAATTATTACCAGTCATTCGAAAACTCTTCTCAGAAAACATTTAAAGGAGTATTTGCCAATAAGACAAAACCTAATCTCACACACAAAAGCTACAAAACAATATCCTTCATATGTATAAATGCAAAAATCCTCAATAAAAATACTAGCAAACTGAATCTTACAATATATAAAGATTATATACCACAGGCAAGTTGGATTGATCCCAGGAAGGCAGCGTTCGTTCAAGATCCAAAAAATCACAAAGTAATGCACTATATCAGCGAAATACAGGGAAAACCCGCATCACTTCCACAGAAGCAGAAAAAAAAATTGACAGAATCCAACACCCTTTCATGACAAAAAAACAAAAACAGAAACCCTCAACAGATTCAGGATAAAAAGGAACTTCTTCAATTTCGTAAAGGTTGTCTCTGAAAAATCTACAGCTAGCAAATACTTAATAGTGAAAGAACAGATGCTTTCCCACCAATTTTAGGAAAAAGACAAAAATGTCTGCCCTTAGAACTTTTATTCAACATTGTATTAAGAGCTTCTAGCCAGGGCAATTAGGCTAGAGAAAGAAATGACAGCCATCCAGACAGGAAAGGAAGAAGTAAAGCTGCTGTTTTGCAAATGACATAATGATCACATATAAAGAAAATCCTAAGAAATTTATTGAAAAACTTAGAGCTAATCAATGATGTCAGCAAAGGTGCAGGATACAAGATCAAGATACCAAAGTCAACTACATTTCTGTACACTTGCAATGCAAATCTCATTGTTTAAATCCAAAAGTGAAATTCAGAATTTCATTTACGATAGCAAAAAGAATAACAACAGAAATAAATTTAACACTAGTTCAATGAAAATGACAAAACATGACTGAAAGAAATTTTTAAGAAGCTAAAAAAAAGGGTGAACAAACGGCCCATCTTCATGGATTGGGAAGACTTAATACTGTTAGGTTGCACGACTTCTCAAATTAGTCTATAGATTCAATGCAAACCCCATCCCACTTTCCTTTACTGCAGAAATTGACAAGCTGATAAAAAAAAATTTATAGGGAAATGGCAAGAGATCCGTAATAGTCAAAACAATTTTGAAAAAGAACAAATCAGAGGGCTTTGTAACACTAAGGCTATAAAACTCTTAGAAGAAAATCCAGGAGGAAATCTTTGTGACCTTATCTCAGGCAAATAGTTTCTCAGGTATGACGTCAAAAGCACTAGTAATAAAAGAAAAAATAGAGACAATGAGCTTCATCAAAATTAAAAACTTTTGCATTTCAACGATCAAGAAAATAAAAGCCCTCAGACTGGGAGAAAATGTTGGCCCAACATATATCTTATGAAGGTCCAGTATTGAGAATACATAAAGAACTCTTACAACTAAACAATGAACAGACTAGTGAACACTGGCAGATTATTTAAATAGCTGTTTTTCCAAAGAAAATATATATGTAAGCCCAATAAGCATGTGAAAACATGCCTTAGGGAAATGCAAATCAAAACCACCATGAGACTCCACTTCAAACTCACTAGTATAGCCAAAATAAAAGACAGTTAACAACACATGCTGGCAGCCAGGTACAGTGGCTCACGCCTGTAATCCCAGCACTCTGGGAGGCTGAGGCGGGTGGATCACCTGAGATTGGGAGGAGTTCAAGACCAGTGTGACCAACACGGAGAAACCCCATCTCTACTAAAAATTCAAAATTAGCCAGGCATGGTGGCACATGCCTGTAATCCCAGCTACTTGGGAGGCTGAGGCCAGAGAATCGCTTGAACCTGGGAGGTGGAGGTTCTGGTGAGCTGAGATCGTGCCATTGCACTCCAGCCCGGGCAACAAGAGCAAAACTCTGTCTCAAAAACCAACCAAACAAACCAAAAACACCTGCTGTTAAAAATGGGGAGAAACTGTAATTCTTATGCATTGCTGATGGGCATATAAGATCATCAAGCCACTTTGGAAAACAGTTTGGCAGCCCCTCAAAAAAGTGAGACATAGAGTTAGCATATGACCCAGCAATTCAATTCCTACGTCTGTACCCAAGAGAATCAAACAAAATTCAAAACCTATGAATTTTCACAGCAGCATTATTCATAATAGCCAAAAGGTAGGCACAATCTAATGTCCATCATCTGATAAATGGATAAAATGTAAACCCATATGAGATATTATTCAGCCATTAAAAACATGAAGGAAGTACTGATACGTGCTTAAAAATTATGCTAAGAAAAGCCAGTTACAAGAGACCATATATTATATGGTTCCATCTATGTTAAATGCCCAGAATAGACAAATGATAAAGACACAATGAGATTAGTGCTATCAAGGGCCTGGGGGCAGAGAATAATAGGGAGTGATTGCTAATGGTTTGGGGATCCTTTCAGGGGTGATCAAAATGTTGTAAAATTAGATAATAGTGATGTTTATATAAGTTGTGACTGATTAGAAAAACCATCAATTTATACATTTTAAAGGGGTAAATTTTTATGATATATAAATTATATTTCTTTGTAAAACCAGCTTAATTGAGAATAGTATACACCCAAGAGTGGAACTGCCAGGTCACATCGTAGCTGTATGTTCAACTGAGGAACTACCGAGACTGTCTTCAAAGTGGCTGTCCCAGTTTACACTCCCACCAGCGGTGTAGGAGGGTTCTGATTTCTCCCTGTCCTCACCAACACTTGCTATCATCTGAGTTTTTTATTCTAGCTGTCCTAGTAGATGTGAAGTGGTTATGTTTCAGTTTTTTAAAAAGGAGTGGGAGACTCCCACAGAGCTTGAAACCTTATCTTCTGCCAAGTGTTTTCATGATTCCCATTAACACCTAATGTTTTTGGAGGGGAAAAGCTTGAGCTAAAATGTGGAGGTGGGGAGAGATGTTAAATAAACAGCTCCTGGAATCTAGAATATGCCAGGGCCACAGGCTGGGGGCTAGGTGAGTATACCAGAAGTCCTGCCTGGCTCACCCAAAGGGAAAGCCTGCCCTATGGCAAGAAAGGGGAGGGAGCAGCAGAAAGCTTCATTTGAGGGAAAAACTACAAAAATGTAATGGTCAAGGACTTGATGACAATGGACCGATGAACAATAGATCATACAGCCATCTGTGCCTGGAGAATGGAGCTGTGCACACATTAGATTCCACACAGAGGGCTCCATAAGACCGATCAGTATGAAAAGCTCAGTATGAAGAGCTGCTGCCATGTTGTTCACAGTATGTTTAAGACGTCTCCTTGGTCTGCATCCAGAGGAAGTTCAGCAGGCCTGTTCTCAGAAGTGGCCCCGGTGAAGGTAGGGGTGGATGCATGGAAGGAGGACGCACGCATCTTGCCTCCAGTAGGCACACTGGCTATTGCTATGGCCAGAAAGCAGGATAGAGAAGTGGCCCACAGGGGTTCCGATATGGATGAGTGAGCTCCTGGTTATGATCCTCACAGCAGGGATCTCAAGGCTCAAGGGAGACCAGTGAGTGCAAAAGGCAGAGGACACTCACACCTGCCCAGCAGTTCCAGTCAGGCCTGGGAATCCCACTCTTGTGCCCACTTAAAGCAAAAATCCAGGAAAAACTCAGAATCCATCTCATTCTTTGACCATGCTGTCCTGACTATGAGGCTGTGTCACTCCTGTCTGAGCTAGCCTGCATGTGTTTTCAGCTGTCAGCATTTTCCCTGCTCTCTGCTACCAAACTTGGATCCTGACCCCGAATCAAAAAGATGCCAAGAGCTACGTTCCGGCAACCAGAAGGCAAAAAGAAAAGCTGCAAGTGCAGATTTCAGTGGTTTGGAGAAACAGCAAGGGTACAAGTCAACATCAAGGACTTATTTTTACTACAGCAACTGTTCTCCTGAGACTTGTTCTTCCTGTACTTAACCTTTCATTCTTGGGGTTGGAAAGAACACACATTAAAACCCCAGCCTTGTACACTGAGTAAATTCACAGCTAAACCCGGGCATCAGAGCCCTTCTGAAACAACAGAACTATCTTCCTGTAACTGATTATTCTGATTTGTAACTGAACCAACGTATATTCCCTTCTGATTAAATGCATGTCCTCCAAGAACCACATAATGAGGCAACTCTATGGTAAATACTGTGTGTGGTTTCAGTGAGAAATAAATTGCATCCAGCAGCTGATCTGTAACCACAGGCTAGGGTTGACTCTGATCACAGGAATTACCCCCATAATGAGGAGTACCTCCTGGCTTCTTTGCCCTTCATGAAGGAGAAAAAAAGTTACAAAGACAGTCTTACCACACACGAAACTCTCTGGCGGCACAGAGAAAATGCTCTGACCCTTCAGTGATTCTGGGTGGGCACAGGTGGCTGTCACAAAGGCCTGCAGCATCTTGCCCATTAGCCATGGAGGCAGCCACTTCAGCTGGCAGTCACACAGGAAGCTGTCGCTGCTGATATGGCTGAAAGAAACACAACAGTGGATGCTTCAGGTGCAGCCTCAAAGGAGGGATATTCCCTTCACAGACAGAATGATCCGTCGACTCTAATCAGCTTCTCAAGTGAACACCAGCAAGCTGGAAGGGGGAAATGGTTTTTCTCACAGCTCTGCTCCAATTTCCCAGGGCAGTTCATATAACTCACCTGAAGATTTTGAAAAAATGCAGTTGCTGACTAACTGGGTTGGTCCGGAGTGGCACCCACGATTCTGCACGTCTTACAGGCTCACGCGTGATGCTGGGCTGCTGGCCCAAGGACCACACGGGAGTAGCAGCAACCTGGAGCTTACCCGTGTTCTGGGATGGACACTGTTCCCATGTAACCCTGGGCCGCCTTCTCACCTCTCCTGACCTCTGATACATCCAACAGTGCTGTGCTGCCACTGTCCCCACTCTGGTTTCCACTTTCCTGATACGCTATGTAGGCTTCCAAACTCAACCTAAGACTTTGATCCAAATTCTGCAGCAAGTTCCAAGGAGGGTTCTTTTGCCTCATGACTCTTCCTTTTTCATCTGGCAAAGCTGCATGTTTTCCTACTTCCAATGTAATAAGCCTCGCCACCATGCCACGCTTTTGTTTGTGCTTTGATCCCTCCACCAGTATTCTTCAGGGGGCCGGCAGAATTTAGCTCAGCTCCCTAAATAGTGCTTGTTAGTTAATTGCCACTGCCCAGGGAGCATGAGAATGCACAACTTTAGTTTTGTGAGGCTCCAACCAAAACAGAGAATATTTTCTTTTTCATTTCTCAGCAACTAAGGATAAGCTTTTTAAACAGAAATCGGAATCGCCATCTCAGCGGACATTCCTTCCTGAGGAGTCACTTGAAGATAAGTCAACCAAGAGTCTAGCTGCCCCATTCCTTGAAGACCTCAGAGCTGTGAGCTAAAGCATTATGGCTGGCCCATGATAAGGGAAAAGACTGGGAGAGAGAATACACAGGCTTCCCTGCAATAAAGTGTCTCTAGTACACGTTGACAAGCAGGGGGCACAGGTATGCTCAGAAATTCCAAAAACATCATGCAGGCCAAGAGCATGGCCTCAGCTGCCTTCTCCACCCACTGCGGTCATCAGACATCAACAAAGCAACGAGATGGACTGGCCTTCCGTTTTCTTCTATTTCTCTCCAGATTTCTAATGAGTGAAGAAACTGTCATAGCAAGAAAGAATGAAAAAAGTAAAATCCACTCTTCCTTATACTCCCCATTAACCCTAGATGAGCTGTGCTTCTTATTAAAATAACTATAAAATAATTTTGGAAAGTGCTTTTCTAAAAACTGAAATAACTTGTCTCAAAGCCATTATAACTGGGATGCTGGCCCATATGAAATCTTAAAATCAGAATGAGATTCTGCATTTTGATTTGATGAGCAAGTAGCATTCTGCTGAGAGCTATCTGGAGGGGCTGACCTACTGCCCCTATTGGAGTCACTGCAGGTGGCGGAAGGGCCTTCACGGCCACCCCTGAGGAAACATCCAATTCCCGTACAGCGTGTGGGGAGGGCAGCTCCCGGGAGTGCACCCTGCCTGGGGGTTAGGTTGGCTGTGCCCACCATGGGGAAATTCAGCCTGGATGGAGAACTCTCTGCTGTCAGAAGCACCTCCGGTTGGCTCCCCAGCAAGAGGGCATTTCCATGCAGTCAGGCAGAATGGCACAGGCACTGTTCATGAAAGCCTAGGAGGAGATGCTGGGCCATCCCTACGCAATGTTAGACCTTCGTGTGGGACACAAGGACATATTCCATTTGAACTACAGGAACAAACTGGGGAAAACAAATTTGACATTTATCTTTGATCAAACACATGGAAAGAGCTAAGCCTCATCTACAGACGTCCTGGACTCATGGGTCTAATGCCTTTGAGGATTTCCTACTTCTTCCACCATGAAACCCACCCCAGAGAGGAGGCCAGACCCCAGGAAAACAGTGGGTACCCAGGGTGGAGACAGTGTGTTCCTAAACAGCAAGGTAGGACCAAGAGGACACATGGGGAAGGCCTGGGGCCAGGCAGGAGCAAGGACTCTGACCCCCAGGCTTTGCAGAGTCCTGCGCCCTTCCTCCACCCATGAACAGCACAGTCATCGCTCTACCCGGCACTGCCTTCTGCGGCTCCGCCTGCAGCCATCCGGCTTTGCTGGCTCACATGGTGCATTTCATGATTCCAACTCAAAGTGTGTTTCTAATCATCACTTGTGGAAATTTACCCAGAGGATGACTAAGTGCACAGTACAACCTGACTTGATCTGGTGGGTAAGAAAACGACCAAGTGGAATTAACCGTTTATCCCATCTGAGGACTGGGCCCAGAGCCAGCCCCAGCGAGGTATGTGCAGCAACAATGCGAAACCCAGGCAGGAGACCGAGGCTGAGCCTCCAGAACTATGTAGAAGCACCCTCGGGGGCCAAGCTTCTGGAAGGGTCCAGTTCCTCCCAACTTCCCAAGGAAAATCTTATTTCCCTTCTCCCTCCTTCTCTCAAAATACCCTCTTCCCATTTACTCAGATCTTTTTCACTCCTGACATCATATCTGAAAGTTTCAAAGACAGAAAAGGTGAAAGAATTCCACAGTGAACACTCCCGTGCCCCACTGCTTGTCTTCTACAGCTGACGTTTCATTCCACTTGCTTTACCGAGAGTCCACCTCTGAATCAGCCTTCCATGGTGGTCTAGAATTACCTCCTCCCATACACTGGAAGGAGAGCCATGGAATCCTTTCTGCATGTTCTGTCTTACCCAGACAGACAGAGGCAGAGCTGCTGAGGCTGGAAGAGGGAAAGCACTGGGCACGGAGCAGCCATCTGCAGAGCCCTGAGCTCTGTGAACCCTCCACAGACACCCACTCCAAGATCCAACCATTGCAAGGACAGCGTCTACTCAGCAGGCCTGAGGCTTACAGCACACTCAACACCATGGGGCAAGGGCCCAGGCCACCTCCTCTCACCACTTAGAGCACTGTTACCTAGCCCACTTCAGTTCTCAGCTACAGGGAATGCACCTTGTTCCCCCACTCCCAGCCTCCCTGCCCCAACTGAGGGTCCATCAGGAGTGGCCTCAGGGAATGTGGATGAGGTCAGGGCACAAAAATGACTGTCCTGTGGCATCTGCCATTCTCACAGCACTTCTAGAAACCAAAAGTTACCCCTTGAGGGAAGTGGTATCATGGCTAGAACTTAGTGGCTGCAGAATCAGATTCATGTTTAGCAAAAAAAAAAAAAAAAAAGAAAAAAGAAAGGAAACTTGGGTGTTACTACCTGAGGACCCAGACTAGCTCCCCTGCCAGAGAGTAGGATACAGGCAAGCTTTTCTAACCTTGTCACCCAAAAGCCCATGATCAAAGTTCACAGTGGCAGCACCACCACCTGTGAACCGTGCCCAGAAACCTTGGAAATGGTATGGGCAGACACTGCTGCACCCCTGAGTATCGCATCCCCTCCAGAGCTCTGCCTTGCTCTTAGCCCGCCAGGCTCTGAAGTAGCTCCTCTCAACAGGCCTTCACTGGAAGCAAATCCAAAAGATGAAAAAACTTCCCTCCTGACATAATTAAAGGGGTGATTATCCACTTTATAGAAGAGAGTATATTTCACATTGTCTACAATACTGGCTAGCAAACTTCAGGCTGCAGCCCCACTGCCTGCTTCTGTCACTGTGATTTTATGGGCACACAGCCACAGCCCCCTGCTTATGTATCATTTACGGCTGCTTTCTGCTGCAGTGACACAATCAAGTAGTCATGACAGAGGCCCTGTGGCCCACGAAATCCAAAATATGTACCATGTGGCCTTTTAAGAAGTGAGCACAATGCAACTGCTAAGTTTCTTGCTCTGAAAGTCTCTGCTCACATTAATCAGACCCAGGGAATCCAGATACTTACAGCTCTTTAAGATTCTTCATCTTCACAAAGGCGTCAAACTGGACAGATCTGATCGCATTCCCTCCAAGGTTCCTGAAACAGAACACAAATACTTGTGCAAAGAAACCCTAGGTACACCTGGGGTTTTCAAGACAGTCCTGGTTCCACAGATGACCCACAGGGACTAGCCAGACCTGTATCCTAACTACTACAGGTGGCTGCTGTTTCCCAAATAGTGATGCCAGCCCACAAAACCACTCGGGAGCCAAGCCAGCCTTAGGACACCATCACCTTTTCCAACAGAGTTAGACTCAAACTTGATTCAAAGAAGAAATAAACTAAGAATCATATACAGGAGGCAACCGCCCCAGATGGCAACAGCATGAATGTCTCAGGGGTGGCTCTGTCCCCTTCCTCCCAGGTCTCAGAAGCAATCATCACACCAAGTTAAGCTGCTTTACGGAGGCAACAGGCTTGGCCAGGAGGAAGCGCCCTGGTGGAAGAGGCAGTGAGGCCAGGGGCCCATGAAGGATCCGGTGCAGGGGTGAGGCAGTGCAGCAAGACAGGGAAGGATATTTATCCAAATACCAACTGAATTAACTGGGAGCACACCCACTGGCCATATGTTCTGTAACTGTTCCTGGCATAGGCAACGTAAAGGCCAAAGTTGAAGCTGACTTATAATGCGAAGGAAGCAGCTGCTGTTTCCAAATAGCCTGTTTCTCGGTTTACAAAGATGCGATTAAATTGCTAGCAGACGTCCAGGCAGCCGCATTTGGCAGGCCTGTGCCTCAGGGCAGAGCTGGCGAGATACTCACAGGTGCTCCAGGCCTTCCAGCCCCGAGAATGCTCTCTTAGCCACAGACTTGATCTTGTTTCCAAATAGACTCCTGCAGTTTCCAAACATCCAGAAATTGAGGCCAGGGGAGGAGAGAGAAACAAGGAAGGGTGGAGAGTAAGAGAAAGAAAACACACAATTAAAGTAGTGCTACCTGGTAAGTCTGTCCAGTGAGGGGCGGGTGGAAAGCTGACCTGTTCTGATTACAGGTTTGAGGCATGCAGGACTTCCCCTTTCTGAAATGAAATACTTTTATCTTTATTAGAATTTAATAGTGATGACAGGCTGGAATTGCATGCGCCGTCTAGCCTAAAAAGGCCGCTTGCAGTGTCAGGTAGAAATCACCTTGTCCGGCCCAGGTTGTCTCTCTCCAAGGACCACCCAAGGGTGGGTGGTGAAGTTTAGTGATGGCTTGGCAGGAGAGATGAGACAGGTTATGGTTTCAGTGAGAGGAAGCAGAGTCCAAAAAGGAAAGACACGTTTTTGGAATCAAAACTGCTTCCCATGACTGGGCATGATGGCTCACGCCTGTAATCTCTCAGCACTTCGGGAGGCTGAGGCAGGAGGATCACCTGAGCCCAGCAGTTTGAGACATGGACAACATAAGGTGACCCTTTCTCTACAAAACAATAAAAAGTATCTGGACGTGGAGCTGCGCACTGGTAGTCCCAGCTACTTAGAAGGCTAAGGTGGGAAGACTGCTTCAGCCTGGGAAGTCAAGGCTGCAGTGAGCCATGACTGTGCCACTGCACTCTGGCCCAGGGAACATAGGGGGATGTTGTCTCAAACAAAAAACCCCAAACTGCCACCCAGTTCTGAACAGTGCATTCTGGGGCTAAACTTTCCCAAAAGAGGCAAGAAGAGGACAGGAAAACAGGGATGCATCAAGCTGACTCCACAGCTCTCTGCACACAGCCACTGTGAGCTGTGTCCTTGCCTATGAGGTGGACCCCTCAGGCCCTACAGGAGATGCCCCAGCACTTTGGCTCTTAAGCCAGACCCCCAATTATATATGACGTCAGTGGGCCAACCTCCAAGGTTATTGCTAGTGCCTGTCCCCTTCCTGGACTGCCTGACCATGACAAGGGGTTCCTGCCTCCAGGCAACTCTGATCCCAGCCTTAGCATTAGCTGTTAAGAGTTTTCCCAGAAGCCAAAGTCTACACCCCTGCAGAACACAAGGAAAAAATGAGCGCCTCCTCCACCAGACTGTGTGATCTAAAGGGAAGCTGGTCTCTCTACAGGAGAACCCCTAGGGTGGAGAGCCCCTGGGAATGAAGAAAATCATGTTTTCCCCTCCGTGTTATCATGTTCTCTCATGAGAACCCACCAAAGGCATTCCCTCTAATCCAGATGGCACAAGAGACCACCAGGGAACAACTGAAGGCAGTGCTGACCATCAGCTTCATCAACTTGTCAACCTTGAGGTCCACAGGATCTAATGGGCTTGCTAAGAACACCAACTACCAGGAACCAACTCATGGGGATTCTCAGCATCCAACAGGTTTGTCCAAGGCAACTGGGTGCAGGTGAGCAGGAGAGGAAGCCCCTGGAGAAAGCCCATCTGGCCCCACACCCTACTGGGAAGGGGACTCCTGGTCCAAGATCTCACCTAGCCTCTGGAAGAGATTGGATTACAGGCTAGATCCATCTTCAACCTGCATTAAGACTGGGACCCATAAGAGAAGATGAGAAGCCCCAGCCCCTTTCCAAAGGGAAGAAAAGAAAGGAAATACAAGCCCTGAAGGAAACCAAAGATGGCAGAGCAGCCTGGGACCTGCCCACCACACGGGCCCCTGCTTCATCCTAACTGTAACAGGCCTCCTGGAAACAGAGGCCTACAGGAGAGCCAGAGGAAGGCACCACCAACCCGCCCGGCCAGCTTCCGGGGCAACCACTCCAAAGGGGCTGATGATCCTCCGTTTCATCAGAAACAGTCTCCCTCCCTGGGGACCTCCATTCAGGCCGACCCCAGAGCTAACTCGAGCTCAGCCCTCAGACAAAGCAAGCTCTGTTTCCTGCCTCCGGAGGATGATGGGGCAAACGGGCCAGAGACCCTCTGCCTTTTTTTTCTCTCTGAGTTCATATGCACGAATGTGAAAACAATCGTATTCTAAAGAGTTTCCACAACCTCTCTCAGTCTAAAACTTTTATTTTAAAACAAATAAACCAAATGCATAGAAAACCCAGTGGCCATGCTAACCTAGGCTCTTTAACCACAAAACTCACTAGCAAATAACAGCTCATGAGGCACTGCAACCCTGAGTGCTTCAAAGAGCACTGCCAACTTCTACACTTACTCAGCTCCCCCGGCCCAGGCACTGTGTGCCCCGGGTCCCAGTAAAAACGCATTGAACTGTTTAGTGAAATCTCCTGTAAACGAAATCCAGGAAAAAGCTGTGCTTTATTTCATCCATTAAATATTAGTCACATTGACCTGTTTTACAAGGAGGGCAGGCAGTTATTTTTAATGGTGACAATAGCAATAAAACAAATTCTCAAATTCTCAATTACGCAGGAACTAATCATCCTATTGGTGGATTAAGCAGGGTCCTTAACCTTCCCCAGCAGATATCGGGGGCTGGGGTGGGGAGCTGCAGTCAGCAGACTGGGATGGCTCTAATAAAAGGCTGCTGTGAGGAGAAAGGAGAAGAGGACTGTGGGCTGGGAGGACACTATTTCTGTCCCAGAGAAGGAACAGCTGGCTGGACCTCCCAAGCACCAAAGCAAAGCAGAAAGCGAGCTCCGAGGGTCACCTGTCAAACCTCCCATTCATCTCCTGGCCAACCCAGCCAACAGCTCCAAAGGCCTGGTCAGCACCTGCCAAAGCAAGTGGCAGGTACCGGGGGCAGTGCTCAGTACCTTGTACTCATGTCCTTGAGAGTAGCTGTGGCATGTGCACCAGCCTTCCCCCTGACCCACCCACACACACAATGAGTTCCACTGCAGGACCGGCATACCCCACAGGCAGGGATGGAGTCTGCACTCACATCAGCTCTCCAAGTTCCCCCAAACATGCCCCTTCCCATGTGCCCTGTGTGGGACTCGGCCCCTCCCTCCAAGGAATGCCATGGAGCCAGCTGGAATCACGGGGCAGACACTCACTACCCAGGTCACTAACTGCTCCTCTCTGCCTGTAATTTGGGATCCAGAAATTCTCCCTTCCCTCTCGTGTACTGACTCTGTGCCACTATGGAGGCCCCAGCTGGGGAACCGCACAACCATTTGGAAAAAGGTCCTGGGGTGAGTCTACAGAAGAATCCCAGACAAGCTAGGAAGAAAGGCATGTGCTGGGGTCTGGGAACATTCTCGCCCTGCCAGGAAGCTCCAGTGTGAGTAACTCTCCAACACGGCTGTTCGACAGCTGGAAAAATTAAGGGCAGGTCAGCATCCACCCCAAATTCACAGAGGCCTTTTATGGCTCTGCTGCTCACATCTTCCTTTCTTGGAAAACATTTTAATTTAGGTCTGACCTCTGGCATGGTGGAAAGGACCCAAGGTCTTTGAGTAACTCAGCAAAGGCAGGGGTCTGTACCTTCCCATCCTAGGGCAGGCCCTGAACACCAGCCCCTCGAGCTCTCCAAAGACAAACCCATACCAGATGAAGGGGCTAATGGCACTGGCTGCGCCCCCCAAAGGACGGATCAACTGCTCTAGAGCGGGGGCAGCTCTTCTCCGTGCACCCCACTTCCAGTGGATCCCAACAGGCCAGATCGGGCCACTCCCATGGAGCAACACGGTGCTGTCTGTGATTACTCCTCTCAGCCACAGCCACAGCACAACTTTCCTGCCAACGTTCTGAGTAGACAAGTAAGGAGGGGACTAATGAGGCCCTGGGTTCTTCCTCTGTCCTTCCCTTCATTCAACAAACATAGACGCAACACCTGTGATATGCCAAACACAGCACTTATGTAACCCTGTGTACCAGGATCACATGGGAAATATTTACTTCTCCGGTTCCCTTTTACTGTGGAAATCTGCACATACCATGCTAGGTAGACAGAGTAGTATCCTGAACCCTAAGTGCCCGTCACATACCTACAATACTCCAGTTATGCCAATCTCACTTCATCTCTACCTCTAGCCACCGCCCATTCTCAAACTCAGCAGGAGTTTACAGAATCCAAATCACAGGCATCGTACCATTTTCTTTCTTAGTCCAAGAAGAAAAGGATTTGTTTTCTTTCTTTTGCAACATACCCATGATAGCATCACATGTAAGTAAGTGATTGCATATATTTAATCATATTAAGGATTTCTTGTTTATTTTTTGTCCCAGCTTCCCCAACTGGATGCATGTCTTTCTCTCTTGCCCTTTTTCAAAGATACATAGAGTCTCCAGCCCCAAGATGCTGACTCAGTGGCTGGGTGGGATGAGGCCTGGATTTTAACAAGTTCCTAGGAGTCTCAGGGCCAGCTCAGTGTGGAGCCCACCACATTATGTGAGTGAGGAAAGCAAGGGCTTGGGCTGACCTCTTGGGGCTCAGGTGGAAGTGCTGAGCCTGGTCTAGCAGGTGGACAAAGGAGATGCGGACATTCAGGAAGGCCGCGGTAGATACATGCAGCACCGGAACCCAGGGGACCCAGGGCCAGATGCAGCTCACGGGCCCTACTTTCTGAGTGAGACAGAGCCTCCCGGAAGCCATAACACCCAGGAGACGGCTCCAGTTTCCTCTGGAGGGACATACCCCAGTGGAACCTGGCAGTGCTGCCCACTCCCCACCTTCACCCTTCAGTCAGTTATGGCTGAGGCCAGGGAGGCTCATGCCAAGGGGCAGCCCCGGTGCTGAACACCTTAGCAGCCCCGTCCCAGGCCTGGAGCTCCTCTTGCTAAGAACAGGCCCCTGCCCCACCCCACTTGGTACTTCTAGCTCTTCCCAGGTTTGCCCTGTACAGGATAAAAAGGGGCCAAGTACTACAGGTTAAAGGCTGCGGAAAATGAGCATTGTTTGAGAGACAACAAGGACAAGAAACACTGACAAGCATCTCTGACATGCTGCTGGAGTACAGGATGCTCAAGAAGAAATAGCTTCCTCAGACAGCCAAAAGAGCTTATTCCCAATCAGACCCATCAAAGGTACAAAAAACCACACTTTTCAGAACAAATCAGAAGCATCTACCGTACAGAAAGACTCTCCGTACCACAGGCTCCACTCGGGCTTTCCAAATATTTACTTTACACTCGCACTCTGCTGAGCTCCCCGTCACTGGGGACGGGTTGGGGGAATGGAGTGGCAACTGTCCCCTCTGTCTTGCCTTCCTCTAAGGCTTCCCTCCGAGATGCCAGTAAACAGTAATAATTACTCAGCACCCCCTGCACGGTCCTTGGATGGCATCTACAGAAAGTGCCAGTGACATGCAAAGTAAACAGGGTGGGCTGACAGGGAGAAAATGTGGGCTTTGGAGCCAAACGAGCAAATCTGGATCCTGCCACTTGACAGCTGTGTAGTTTTGGGCAAAATCCCATCACTTCTCTTTCCTCAGGTATAAAAAGGTTGCCTAACAAAGACTACTACCCTCACGGGATCATTAGATATAACACACACGCGCTTGGCAGATTAACTGGCAAAATCTAGGAGCTAGGAAAAAAGAAAAAGACCCCAAACCATACATTCAAAATAGCTGCTACTATGACCCTTGGAAATGCTGTTTCCATTTGAGATGATGGTTAATGATGGAAGTCCTGACAGGAGCCCCACACCCTCACAGCTTACTGAGCTTTATACAACTCCCACAATTCCAAGAAACTAAGTAACAGGGCAAGACTCCTTGGTACAAAGAGCAATGGCAAATCCCGCAGTTTTCAAGTGAGTTGTGAGTGAAGCCCAAGGGAAGCTCCACCAGGCCACCAAACGCCAGGTAGTCAGTCCCCAAGAACCCAAGGCCTGGGTCGGGAAGAAGACCCCCGGCCATCGAGAAGTGGGGTGTCCCCTGCTCTCTTCTTCAAACTCTTCTCCCCAAACAAAAGCAGCTCAGCATGGAGCCAGCTCTTTTCCACCACAGAGAGGTGTGGGGGGCACCAGAGAAACGTCTCCCACAGAAGTGTCTTCCCATGCATTCGCTGGCAGAGCTCCATGCCGTGGATACTCACAGCTTGCTGAGGCTGTCCAGTCCTGAGAAGGCGCCGCTCGTGTCCTCTATTGTGCCTGAAATCTCATTATGGTCCAGATCCCTGGGGAAAGGACAGAAAGCAGCTCACCATGAGTCCAGTCTGAGCATGGAGGGAAAGCAAACTCCCACCCAGCCTGCTGCTCAGAAGCTGAAGTCCCCTGAAGTCACCCTGGAGGCACAGTCTAGATGTAAGGTGGAGAGACAGAGGGAAGCCCTGTTTCTCAGCCTTCCAACCAGATGACACATGCCTGAGGCAAGAAGCTTCCCTGAGCTCCACCTGCTGCCTGCCTGTCTGTGGAGGCCACACTCCAGGGAAGGGAGGTGGTACAGACAACCTGCTTTGTACTCTGCCCCCAGAGAGCAGATATCTGGAGTTGGCAGTGAGTATCAGCCCAGAAAGTTCCTTAAGGCTCCCCATCTGCCCTCATACCAACCAGAGTCCCTTTTCTGGACGTAACTGAGAAATTGCAGAAAGCACATGGAAGCAAGCACAGGGCCTGCCCGTGGGCCCTTATGTGCCAGCCAGTGGGTCCGGAGCCCAGAGTCCATCTCCTCCCAAGGCCTATAGGGCGCTGACTGTGAGCCAGGGAGGACATCTGGGTGCTGAGTCAGTCAGACTTGTGACCCATTCGCCAGGATTGGAGGGATGAGGCCAACTCCTCAGCCCAGGCGCCTCCAACAATGCAAATCCCATGGCCGATGACTCAATGGCCTCCCAGCTTCCAGAAGTAGGTCACAGTACCCAGGCGAGACATCACACCTGGTGACCGGACCCCAACCCTGCACACGTTCTGCCCTCTCCAACTTTCCATGAGGTCCTTGGTTCTTAAACTTCCCCCTCCTGAGCCCTTGCAGACACAGGCCAGGGACAGAAAAGGAGCTCTTGGCTCCTGTGAGAAGCTGCAGCAGGAATCAAGGCTGCCAGCAGGAAGGGCAGCTCTGGCTGAAGAGTGAAATGCTGGTGGTGACCTTTCTTTTACAGCAGGAAGCTCACAGAGTGGAGATTCTGCTGCTGGAAGGGACTTCTCCTCTCAATGGGTTCCTTCCTCTCATCTGCATACTCAATAAAACCAGGGACCCGGGGCTGTGGCTTTGTGTGCCTGTCTCCCTGCTCCTAGCCCTGGCTGCCAAAGCTTTTCTCTCCTTTCTGGCCCATTCAATTTGAATGTTCCCAGCCTTGTTATTCAGGCCTTGCATGGGCTCACAGTCTGACCTGGCCTGAATAGCTTGGCTCCAGCCTCTTTCACACTCCCCAGCAACAGCTCCACATTAAAGCCGGCTCTGCCAGGTGCAAGTGCAAACTGGAACAGACCCCTCTCTGTGCAGTGGATTATGCCTAGGAAGGAGACCCTAGAACCTACCATCACTGTCCTCTGAAAACCATATACCCATCTCTGGGGGTTTTATGCTGATAGCTGCTTGGAAGTTCTACGAAGCCAACCATGGAAAAGTTTTATACAAGTCTCAGAAAAGCATCCTGCAGCCACTTTTGCCAATCCGTCTAATTAGGGACTTCAAGGGAAACAGCATTATCACCTCCACTTTATTAACTGACCCCTGATGAGGTACAAGGAGAGACACAGGATTCCCTAAGTGCTGCTTCTGGAAAGGAAGCATCTTGGTACAGGTTATGCTAAAGAAGTTCAAATGCTAGGATGAGAGACATACTACAGCATTCCCATGGTTTAGAGAAAAAATATTCAGGACTTAAAAATGGAAGTTGCAAATGAAGACTCAAGACAGGAAAGACTGACCCCACGGCTACCTGACTAGAGGCTGGCACCAGGCGCTCAGTGTGGGGAAGCTTTTCCCAACACCAGGAGCTAGCATCCCGTCCAGCGCAACGTGGGCATCACTGCTTGAGAATAAGTACTTTTTAAGAGACACCATCCCTCTCTAGGCACCATCCTGGGGGAATGAGAGATTCTTCTGCTTAACCAGTTATTTTTCAGTAGATTACATAAAAGTCTGAGACTCTGCACACAGAGCAAGCCAGCTTGGGGTCCAATTCTGACTTGAAGCCAACGCAAATGGAGGTCAACTAAACAGTTGATTTGCTCTATTCTCTCCCGACCAGGGACCCTTTCATTCTGTCAGTAGTGGGAGACATACAAGACTCGCAGGCTCTTGAGTCCCTTAAAGGCGCCCTCTGCAATGTGGCTGATGGAATTGTGGCTGAGGCGTAGAACGCTCAGGCTGCTCAGCTCAGCCAGGCTCTCCTCATCCAGCCGTGTCAGGTTGTTGAAGGACAGGACCCTGCAGAAAGGGAGAGCAGCAATGTCACCATCTAGCGTGGCTGCCCCCAACCCCACCCTGCTGGAAATCGGGCCACAGCGGCTGGGTTTCAGTGGGAAACGACACACATGCACACACATGCACACACACACGCGCACACACAGACACACACACACAGAATCCTAGGGAGTAAAAGTGCCCATGCAGCTAGAAACTCATCAGTGCCCAACACACTAGTCTGACCCCTAGAATGGATGAGTAGGTCACAGGGGCCAGGGTGGCTGTTAAACTGTGAAGACTACACACAAGGTCATGACACTACAAGAACTCTCAAGCTCTAGTGCCTTCACGCTACTGTCCAAGGCTACTCCTGATTCAGACTACCAAAGACCTCTGACAGCAGAAGCCTGGGATTCTGGACATGGCTCAGCAGCAAGCCAGAGAGCCCCAGTCACACTCCCTGCAATGGCCAGCAGAGGGCACCACTAGCCCCTGCCTGGGATGGCCACACCTGTGCCTCATGCCTTAGCTGGGCAACTCCCCCTGGGTGGGAGGCTCCTGCCCAGGTCTCCCTGCCCCCATCCACATGGGCCTCAGAACAGGATCCCCTACTGCAGGCAGTAAAACCATATGCTTTGCCCGAGCCTCAGAATCAAAGCTTCCTCTCAGCACTCCTGCACCTCTGGGTTGGTTATGTGACACACTGGTCATCCATCGTTGAAAAATGAAAAATCGGGGCTGGGACAGGAAAAAAGAAAATGAATTCAAAGAAGATTAATGAGTTTTTAAAGACGGCAGGGAGCAGCATTCTTTCCCTCCTGGACAAATAAGTCAGCTTGTCTGTCAGTTGCACAGACCTGGCAGGAGATAAAATCATATCCTCACCTGCAATTAAAGAATTTAGCTTAAAGGAGGGGTGGAAAACATACGCTGGGAAGAATCCCAAATCTGGCTCTCCAGTTACCTGGATATGGCACAAACTGCTAGGACTGCTCAAGCACACTTCTGTGACCTTTGCTGCCCCTTCTAGAGGCCACAGAAAAGGGCTTCATGCTTCCCACCAGCCAGAGAGGGGATCCCATACCCTGCAGAAGACAGCATGCCTTTAACTGGGGCTGCCACACTGGTGAGTCAGAAGAAGGCTCCCGACTTTAGGAACTGAACTGGCTCAGGCTTCGGGGACTTAAAAGACCTCTCTTGCTTCCCACAGCTCCCAGCCCTGACCAACAAAACCCGGAGTTCCCTGGTGGGGTCACAGCCTGAGTACAGAGCCTGAAAGGAGCCATCCAGCACCACATGTAATGCACAATTGCAGTGCCTTGAAGCACAGAAGCTGAACCCAAAGGGTTAACACTCACAGAATCCAAGGAAAGTGAGGAAAGAGGCAGGACCACTGTGTTTTGCATCAGATAATGATGGATTCACCAAAATAAAAACTCCAAGTCCATGCGTGGGGGTGGAAAGAGGAGGAGGGAGGGAAGGACGGGGAGAGAGAGAACACAGAAGACCAGACACAAACACCAGCTGCAAGAATCTATATTAGATTCACACATCCCCTTGAGTATGCCCAGTGAGGTCAAGAGAGAGAGACAGGACAAACTGACACTTGGCACTCTTAACAATCATTCACTTCAGTGGGTGAATCTTTTTCCTATGGCCAAGCCTAGAAAAGGAAGAACAAAACAAAAAAGTGAAAGCCGACCCAACTCTTGTGAAAAATAAAGAAACCTCGTGGACTGCAGTGGGGCATACCAAATGGAAAGGACAGTGAAAACACAAACCACATATTTGTGAAGATGTTCTCCGAGTCCTTAGGAGTGCTGCGTTCACTGTCAACCCCACACTGACGTGAGGGGGTGGCCAGGGCCACTGCCCCTCCCTATCCAGGGGACAGTCTGCCACTACTAATCTCAGAACTATGGGCAAGACAAGCTCAGTTCTCAGTCTCAACCTGGGAGCCCTGTCTGACAATCTCCAAAAGGACCTTCCTCCAAGAGGAAGACGCATCTCTGAACCAAGCGCGCACACACGACTGCACGGTAGCCTCTGCTATCAGGCCACTGTGGTGCAACATGCAGAAAAGGAAGGGGCCAAGAGCCTAGGCCACTCGTTTACAGCAAGGAAGGTGGCAACTCCTAGGATGCAAATTCTTCCAGTCACTGTGTCACCATCTCTCGGCTTTGCTGACTTACTCAAAGTTGCCTGCGTTTGAGCCCAAATGACTCCCTTGCTGAAAAAGCGCATGGTGGTCACTCTCAGAATGGCTCCTGTGAGCACTCTGCTGTAGCTGCCCTTCCCCAGGAACTTTCTACCTTGGAACTGTCTCCAAGCCCAACAGGGCCTTGGGGGCCGAGGCTCCCTGCAGGGACCTAGATGCTACTCCTAGAGCCCCTGCTAATCCAAATGCAGAGGAGGTGGAGAGGAGATCAGGAAGGGACTTGGGCTCAAATTGCTGAGGGTCCTACTCTGGGCCTGGCTGGTTTGGGGACAGGGCTACGCCACTGGCCTCCCTGTCTCTGAGCCCTCCCCAAGGCCACTGTGTGGTGGAATGAACCAGGCCTAGCACTTTCATCTCCAAGCAGTGTCTAAAAACACTGTCACAGCTCAGAGCTGAGGACACTTACAACTCATGCAGCTTCTGGCAGAAGCTCCAGCCCTTGCGGTGAATGCGAGCAATGGAGTTGTTGCTGAGGTGGAGCTGCTGCAGGGCCGTGAGGCCGTAGAGCGAGCCGCTGTTCACTTCCACCAGGCTGTTGTACTCCAGGTGCCTGCAACGACAGCCGTGTGCACGATGAAGAGGGACTTTTGCTCCTTCCCTGGACAGACAGCAAACAAATGGCCACGCCGCACCAGACACTGTGGTCGCACCCAGGTTAGAACAGTGCACGAGAGAACCGTGGAGTCCACTAGCACACATGCATGGGAGTGGGGCTGGGAGAAGACAGGCATGTCGAAACGGATGAGGGCACATGCCAAAGCTGACTCGGAATGTTCAGCGGGCAAGAGGGAGTGACTACAAGTGACTTTTTTGGCTGAGTAAAAGTGAACCAGGGTGGGGTGTGGTGGCTCATGCCTGTAATACCAGTACTTGGGGAGGCCAAAGCGTGAGGATCGCTTGAGCTCAGGAGTTTGACACCAGCATAGGCAACACAGCAAAACCCCATTACGACCAAAAACAAAACAAAAAGTGACCCAGGCAAACAAATGGGCATGAGAGTTCCAGGCAAGGGCAAAGCCCATTGAAGGAATGGAAAGGAGAGAGAACAGGAGGCGGCTCTTATTAGCACTCCCATCTTCCATGAGAAGAACAGGCGGCCCAGAGAAGCCAGGTAACCTGTCTAAGACTTCACACAGCTTAGCCAGTAGGGGAGGCGCCAGAATTAATTCAAGCCCAGGTCTGGCTACCAAAGGCTGGACTCTGCCACTGTGCTAGGAGACTCACTTTAGTTCTTGTGTCAGACTACATAGATTTAAATCCTAATATTGCAGCTTGCTGGCTGAATAAACCTACAGATGTGTAACATGGAGACATTCAGGAGCACTGACTCCATGGGGTCACTATGAGAAGGAAACAAGGGGACATTAGGATTTACTACACTGCTGGCCTGAACTCTCAAGCCCAGTGTGTGAGCATGTAGCACCCCACTTCCTGACACAATGTGTGCTAGGAAGGACAGTGTGAGCCCAAGCAATTGCCTCTTCGAAAGTCCCTAACTCAAATTTTGTTCCGTCTTCAGTATTACAAGGGCTTTGGGTAACCAAGTTTTGTGTTTTTCCATCTTTCTCTCCACCACTGCTCAAAAGGTAAGTACTTCATGTATAAATAACCTCTGAGGGAGCTCATCAGTCTCAATTTGTTCAACATAAAAACCAAATGGTAGGTGCTAAACCTCATTTTCCTCTGAGAATTCTCTCTAGACTTCAGTCCACCCAGCACGTGACCACCTTGGATTTCCAAGTCCAAAATGACATGCTTAAGGAGGTCAAGTGAAAACTCTTTTGAATATGTAAAACTGAGGGTGGATCATGAGTAGAGCAAGAAGCCCAGCTGCGGGAAACATTCTCACTGTTCACAGGGTAGGGAGGGCTGGTCATGCAGAGATGCTGCTCAGAGTGATACAGCACAATACGTGGATGGACCTGGGCCTAGTTGGTTTCCACTGCCAAGAAAACCAGTAAAGGACATACAAGTCATGATATAATGTGCCCAGACTGGAAGGGAGAAGGGGCAGTCATGAGCAAGTTACATCACTGACTCTAAAGCAGGAAATAGCAAGTGGATAAGTAAAGACAGTGGTGTCAGTATATTAACTTGGAAGGAACAACCAGCAAAGCTAAAAGCAGAAAAACCAAAAAGAGAAAGGCTTAAAAGTACCTGTCTCCTGGGAGAAGAACTGGGGTGAAGAGAGAATGAGGGGGTGGCAGGGAAGGGGCTGGGGTGGCAGTGACAGCTTTTCTTTACTATCTGATTTTTATGTAACTATGCAGATGCATTACTTTTGATTAAAAATAAATGTTAATGTTTAAAAAGCCTTTCCTGTATGCTGCCCTGCTGTTTCACGTGACTGCGCAGGCAAGCCCATTCTGCTGTTGTGCACATCTGGCCGAAGAGAATGCTTCCTTGATAAAAGTTGAACATCTGCACCCAGGGTCTTGATTAGTTCACAAGACAGAAATAAATCTCCTAGGATGAGCTCTACATTTCTGGCCCAGCTGCACCTCAAAAAAGACTGTCAAACTCAGATGGAGAGAGAAGGGACTTCCTGTGAT